AAAGTAGATGACTGGATTAAAAAGATGTGGTACATATATACAATGGAATATTACTCAGCAACAAAAAAATAGAGAAACACATGTCTTTTGCAGCAACTTGGATGGAGCTGGAAAAGATCATCTTAGTGAGACAAGCCAGAAAGAGAAAAAAAATACCGGATGGTTTCACTCATAGCAGGAGTATAATGGACCAGGCAAGAAAATAACAAAAATAATAAACAACCATATATCAGAGACATTTTGCCTGGTGGAGTGGGGAATGGGATCAAAAACGGGGGTGGGGGAAGTGCATAGGATTATGGTGATGGCACACAGATGACATGGTGATGTGGAACCTGCGAGGATTACAATTGAGATGGTTAAAAAAAAAGTACAAAATGATGTAAAAATAATCTGTTATAAAATAAAAAAGAAAGAAAAAAGATGTGGTACATATACAAAATGAAATACTACTCAACAACGAAAACAAAACAAACACATTCCTTTTGCAGCAACATGGATAGAGCTGGAAAAGATCATGCTTAGTGATATAACCCAGAAAGAAAAGGGAAAATACCAGATGGTTTCACTCATAGCAGGAGTATAACAGACCAGGCAAGAAATTAACAATAATAATAATGAACAGCTATATACTAGATACATTTAATGGGGGTAGACTGTGGAATGGGATCAAAAACAGTGGGGGGAAAGAAATACACTGGACTATGGTGATGGCACATGTATGGTTTGGTGATGGGAATCTCAAGAGTATTACAACTGAGATAGAAAATTGCACAAAATGATGTAAAAATAAACTATTATGTTCATTTTTTTTAAAAAATGAAAATAGGGCCTTCCAGGTGGTGCAGGGGTTAAGTCTCAGCTATGTCATGCTACTGCCCACCACTGTGACTTGAATTCAATCCCCTGTCAGGGAGATAACTACATGGCACAGTAGACCTCTCCTGTCTTGCCCACTGCTCTCCCTCAGCAGTGTATTTCTGCCTGTTCTTCTCCTTACTCTGTCTCTGCTGAATCCTCTCACTACCCTCCTCCCCTGATACCTCTGGCCTAGATCCCAGTTCTTGTAAGCATAAATAAGTCTTTTTTTTAAAAAAAAATGAAAATAGAAGGATTGTACTAAATGATTTTGAAGATCGCTTTCATTATTATAATTACATAATTGTAGTCAACAAACTCATTGAAGCTTATATATATTTTGTCAACTGAAAATGCACTACCAAATGCATGGTGACAAAAAAGAAATCCACTAGGACAAACAAATGTAAAGTATACTTTTGAATAGTGAGAGCAGCAAACTTAGAAAACATCATTAAATAAATCAGAATAATTGCAAATGAAAAGACTTTTTTCAAGCAAATATTTTAGAAACACTTTGACTATAAGAACATCACAGAGATAGATGTTTCAAAGGGAGGGCACTGCCATAAATAAATGACAGACGTTATATGCAGTGGTTGAAAATTTTTAAACTATTTGTCAGTCTTCTCAACCTCATGCATACCACAGAGATACCAATCACTACTAGTAATATTACCTACAGATATAAAACAGACAAAGGTCAAATATAATAGCCCATAAATGGCAAATGACACCTAACTTTCTTATACTAGTTACACCTTATCACATTTGTATTTGCAGACACAAAATGTCCCATTGAGAGGCTCTTGTGACTATGATACCTACTGACTCTGCTTGATAAGACAGCACTTTGAAGAGGTCTCTCTCCACAGTATTCTTCTGCATAGTCAATTGGGTCTCAGTAAAACTCCTCTGAATTAACTTAATATATAAGTTTTCAAGATTCTGAAAAATAAATCCAAATTAAACAAAATTTAATAATGAGAATAGCCACAAAAGTTACCGTAATTGCCACAGTTAAAATCACTGGTAACATACAGCCATTGCAGCTTGAAAAAAATCATCAGCAATCACAGCATTTCCAACATCCACCCACTCTTTTCCTGTTTTCATATTCATCTGGAAAAGAGAAGTTAGAAAAAAAAATTTTAATTCATACCTCCTACAAACTGGGTAAGAGGGGTATTTGAGAAAATATCTAATCCTCTATATTCAATATTATAATACACAGAAAATGAAAAGTACCAGTCATCATTCATTAGTTATGTTCTGCTTTGAACTTCTTAATTTAAGAGAAATGGTCTTGAGTAAAAAAAATGGTAAAAAAAATTAACAGATTTAAAACACATCTTTTGGGTCCTACCTGGTGATGCAATGAGCTAAAGCACAACACTAAGAAACTAACCACTGTCAGCACAAGTTCCATCCCCAGCCAGAGAGATGACCCATGTGGCACAGGAGACTTCGTTGCTCCCCTCAGCAGTGTGCTTTGTCAGTCTTCCTGTTCTGCTCCCCGCTGTCTCTGGTGAATCTTCCCACCGCCCCTGCACCTCTGGCCTGTACCCCAGTTCTATATATATAAGTAGATAAATAAATAAATCTTTAAAAACTAACTTTTAAAAATACTGATAATGAGCTTTAGCAAAACCCAGATGCTTGGAACCATTCAGCAATTCTCCAAGAACTATAAGTGGGGTCGGGGCATAAAAAGGAGGAGTCCATACTCTCTGGGAACCCAGTTGAAAGGGGAAAATTAGCCCACCAAAGCAGCCTATATTTTACAGCCTGGTGACATATGCTGTCTCTTGACATGGTCCAGGCATTGGGGAGACTCCCAACGAAGACAAGGGGTTTTCTAAACCTCCAAAGAAGATGAAACCATGGGAGTCTCAACAGCAACGCCTGCTGAAACTTCCTCATTTGTTCTTGGTTAATAATAGTCTAAAATTGATTATATGATTGGCCTGTCTAAATTAACTTGGTTAAAGTATTAATTGGCATAATATGTAACAGAAATTAACATTGCAAGAGGCTAGGAAAAACAGGTTGTGGCTCTTAAGACAATGGGAAACAAAAGTGTGTTAAGCTAACTGTGGCAGGTGACTGGAATCTCACCCAGGAGGCGTGTTTACAGCATAAGTAAATTTTCTGGTGTGCTCTAAAGGTCAGCACTTCACATGTGACATAGATGTTAGATACCCTTAAACTAGACCAGACTAAGACAGACAATGATTATAGGAGTTAGATAAGAATGATAAGTTGCAATAGTAGAACTTCTAGGAAAACAATATATTAGTAATATTCTTAGGAATACATGATTTTTAAACCAATAGGAATATAGGGATAAGAATCTATGTTAGGAAGTTAGTAAGGTAGTTAAACATTACCAAATGTCCCAGGTGATTGATCATGCTGGGAAATGAGGTACATTTAGAAGCCTTGATTGTTTATGTTTTTCTTTAAAATGACCAAACAAGTTTCATCCCAGTATGAGGCCATGGGGGTCTCCAAGTGATTATGAAAAATATGTAATAATTATTTTTACTTTGTTTCAATGCTTTTGTAGATGTAATCTCACTGCCTTCTTTAACATATAAATAAAGACCCTTTGAGATGTTCAGTAGGGGATACTTGCACCAGCTAGAGTGTCAATGTCTGCCTCATTGCTCATTTTACCGCCGCTGCCTCATCTTCGGAAAAAGAACCCCTGACCAGCCACCTGTCAGCAATGGACTTTGACATCTGGCATGGTCTCCAACAGCCTGGAATGGATTCCAGCCTGGAACACCCATTAACACACCCCACTATTATCTTGAACCCATAAAAACACACAGGTGAGCAACCCAAGTCTCAGCACCAGTGGTCAATTCCACAGAGGCACATCCTTTTTTTCCCTGAGATGCAACTCAAGAGTGAATCCCTGCTTTGAAAGGTGCATTCCCACGCAACCCTTTGGCGCCACCTAGTGAACAGGGCCAAAATACCAGCAGCTACCAGCACCTTTTAAGCACTCAACCCAGCCACATCACTCAACCAGTATATCTAAAAGCAGACCAGCAGATAAATATTATCCTCAAAGGAGAAAAGCTGAAAGCCTTTCCTTTAAAATAAGGAACAAGACAAGGATGTCCACTACCACTGCTGCTCTTCCAAATAATTCTGGAAGTTCTAGCCAGAGCAATAAGACAGGAAAAATATATTCAAGGAAACCAAATGGGGAAAAAGAAGTAAAATTATCTTTATTTGAAGAAGATATGACAATTTACATGGAAAACCCTAATGACCCCATAGAAAAGTAATAAAAACAATTAACCAGTTTAGTAAGGTCGCAGGATATAAAATCAACACACAAAAGTCAGTAGCCTTCTTCTACACAAACAATCAGAAGAAATGGAAATTTTAAAAAATCCCCTAACAATTGAAAGAAAAAATCAAATACTTGGGAATATACCTAACAAAAGAGGTAAAAGACCTATACAAAGAAAATTTTAAAACACTGTTAAAAGAAATACAAGAAGATACAAAGAAAAGTAAAAATATCCCCTATTCATGGATTGGAAGAATGAACATCACTAAAATGGCCATCCTACCAAAAGCGATTTACAAACTTAATGCTATTCCAATAAAAATCTCAATGACATTCTTCAAAGAAATAAAACAAATATTGATGAGATTCATATGAACCACAAAAAGCCTCAAATAGCCAAAGCTCTCCTGACTAAAACAAAAGAGAACAGAAGCATCTCACTCCCAGACTGTAAACTATACCACAAAGCCATTATAATCAAAACTGCATGGTACTGGAACAAGCATAGACATACAGACCAATGGATTCAAACAGAACACCCAGATATTAACCCACAGTTTTACGGACAGCTAACCCTTGACAAAAGAGCAAAAAATGTGCAGTGGAACAAAGAAAGTTTATTCAACAAATGGTGCTGAGAAAACTGAACTACTTCACGCAAGAAAAAAAGAAGCTAGATTACTACCTCACACCATGCACAAAAACCAACTCAAAATGGGCTAAAGAACTAGACATAAGACATGAAACCATAAACTATCTAGAAGAAAATGTTGGTGAAACACTACATGACATACAACACACTAACATCTTTAAAGATGTATCACCCAAAACAAGCACAGTGAAGGAAAGGATAACATTACACAAAAAAAAGAGACTCCCACTGATTGGGAGAAAATTTTTTCACACAAAACTAATGACAAAGCACTGATCCCAAAGATAACAAAGAGTTGATGAAACTAAAAAATAAAGTGATAACCCTATCAAAAAATGGGCAGAGGAGCTACAAAGACAGTTCTTCAAAGAGGAAATGCAGATGCCAAAAGGCATATGAAAAAATGTTCAACATTGCTTGTAATAAGGGAAATGAAAATTAATAACACAATGAGATACCATCTCAACACCAGTGAGAATGGCACATATTGTAAAAACTAGCAAAAACAAATGTTGATGAGGATGTGGAGAAGAAGAACTATTCTATACTGTTGATGGGAATGCAAATTGGTCCAACTACTATGGAAAGCTGTGTGGAGGTTTCTCAAACTGCTAAAAATGGAGCTCCCATGTAATCCAGAAATTCCACTCCTAGGGATCTACCCAAAGGGCACAAAATCACTGATTCAAAAGGACACCTGCACCCCTATGTTTACTGCTGCTGTATTTAAAATAGGGAAGATGTAGAGTCAATCCAAATCCCCAAAAATAGAAGATTGGATCAAGAGGATGTGGTACATATATGTTATGAATATTACTCAGAAATAAAAGAAGATAAACTCATGCCATTTGCTGCAACATTGATGAAACTGGAAGGAATCATGATTAGTGAAATAAGCCAGAAAGAAAAAGAAGAATACCAGATGGTTTCTCTCATAACAGGAGTGTAAGGATCAGACAAAGAAAAAAAAAAGCAATTGTAATAAAGTAAAATGAAAATCAACAAACAACTATAAACCAGAACCATTCTATGGGGGTACATAGGGACATAGGGTCAAACTGTAGTGGGAAGAGCACACTGTCTATGGTTATGGCACATGGGTGAATTGGTGGTGGGAAGTCCATGGTGATTACAACCATGATGAAAAAATATGCAAAATGAAGAATGATGCAAAAAAAAATAAATAAATAACTTCTCTGCCTGACAAAGACTTAGAATCATCTTAATTTAAAAACTTTTAATTAAGTGAAGAAACACTATGGGCAAGAAGAGGATAGGGTGACATATTCAAAAAACTCAAAGACAAACAATGCCAGCTAAGAATACTTTATCCTGGAGCCATGGTTTAAGGGAGTCAATCACAGCATGATTAAACTATCAGCAGCCACTGTACCATGAGTTCAATCCATGGCCAGGGAGCTAAACCACATGGCACAGCAGACCACTCCTGTCTCACCCGCTGCTCCCCTCAGCAGTATATTTCAGTAGATCTGCATGTTACGCCTCACTCTGTCTCTAGTGAAGCCTCTCACCTCCTACACCTCTGGCTATACCAAAGATTCTTATATGTATAAGTAAACAAAAATAGTTATTTTTAAATTATTATTTTAAAAAGCAAAATACTGGGCCCTCCCTGGTGGCACAGTGGGTTAAAGCACAGCACTGAGAAACTTAAGCCACTTCCACATGAGTTCAATCCCCACCTGCCCTGGAGGTGACCACATGGCGTGGCAGACCTCTCCTGACCCGCCCGCTGCTCCCCTCAGCAGTGTACTTCGTGGATCTGCCTGTTCTGCTCCTCTCTCTGTCTCTGGTGAATCCTCTCACCCTCTGCAGCTCTGGCCTGTACCTGAGTTCTGTATGAATAAATAAATAAATCTTAAAAAAAAAAAATACCTTTTATGAGGCAAACATTATGCTAATACCAAAACTAATGACAAATCCAAAAAAAAGAGAATTCAGATCAATCTCCCCAATGAACACAAATGTAAAAATCATCAGTAAAATTCTACCAAAGCAAATCCAACATGCACCTAAAGGACAATACACCACAACTAAGTGGGATTGATTCCAGGGACACAAGGATGGTTCAGCAGCTGAAATTCAATTAACATAATTCATCAACAAAATGAAAACAAAAAAAATAGTATCATGTAAAAG